TTTGTTTGAGGCAGGGTCTTGCTCTGTTGCCCAGGCTGGAGTGCAGTGGCACGATCTCAGCTCACTGCAACCTCCATCTCCCGGGTTCAAGTGATTCTCCTGCCTCAGCCTCCCGTGTAGCTGGGATTACACGCGCCCGCCACCACACCTGGCTAAGTTTTGTATTTTTAGTAGAGACAGGGTTTCGCCATGTTGGCCAGGCTGGTCTTGAACTCCTGATCTCAGGTGGATCCTCCGGTCTCGGCCTCTCGGAGTGCTGGGATTACAGGCATGAGTCACCATGCCCGGCCCCTTAAGTCTAACTCTATTCCCTCCTGCTGCAATGCCATCCTCTCTCCACCCACGGACCCTCCCCATACCAGGAGGCAGCAGAGAAGAGCTCCAGGGTGTGGATCTCCATGGGTGTCCTCGGGCACGTGACTTTCCCGTTCCATGCCTCAGTTTCCCCATCCAGACCATTTCTTCCCAGGGAGAAGGGGTCTAGAATCAAACTGGAAGGGTGCACCTGCAGTCTTCGAGACTCATGACCACTTCTCTCAGGTCAGAAGCGTGCTGGGGTCACAGGGACCTGGCTTGAAATCTCAGCTCTCCCCAGTTCCTCACCATGTGACCCGGGCAGTGAGTTCACTTCTCTGTGCCTGTTTCCTCCTCTATAAAATGGGGTTTTTAGCTGAATTTTCTTACAAGGTGTTGAGAGGATTAAGTGGGTCAGTTCTTAGTTGCAGCTCAGGCCAGACTGAATGTTTCTGTCTTGTCTCCTCTGTGTGTAGAAAAGGGTGAGAAGGAGGCCCTGGTCTGCTGGATAGGGTAAGGGTTAAGGCCAGCAGTGTGGAGACAGAAATAAACATTATTCATTCATTTATTCCACACACTTTTCTTATTTAATCTGCTCAATAAGCCTGTGAAACAGGATCTGTTATCATCCTGTTATTATTACTATTACCATTATTTTGAGACAGAGTCTCACTCTGTCGACCAGGCTAGAGTTCAGTGGCATGATCATAGCTCACTGCGGCCTTACACCTCAAGCGATCCTTCCGTCTCACCCTCCCAAGTAGCTAGGACTACAGGTGCCCCCTGAGCCCAGCTAATTTTTAAAAATTTTTTGTAAGTCTGGCGTGGTGGCTCACGCCTGTAATCCCAGCACTTTGGGAGACCGAGGTGGGTGGATCATAAAGTCAGGAGTTCGAGCCCAGCCCAGCCGATATGGTAAAACCTCATCTCTACTAAAAATACAAAAATTAGCTGGGCGTGGTGGCATGAGCCTGTAGTCCCAGCTACTCAGGAGGCTAAGGCAGAAGAATCGCTTGAACCCGAGAGGTGGAGGTTGCAGTGAGCCAAGATTGCACCATTGCACTCCAGCCTGGTCAACAAGAGCAAAACTCCATCTCAAAAAAAAAAAAATTGTAGAGACAGGGTGTCACCTTGTTGCCCAGACTGATCTTGAACTCCTGGTTTCAAGGGATTCTTCCTTCTACCTTGGCCTCCCAAAGTACTGGGACTACAGGAGCACACCCCATGCCCAGCCCCATTCCCCATTATTAAAGTCACAAGGGGCTGGGAACGGTGGCTCACACCTGTAATCCCAGCTACTCAGGAAGCTGAGGCGGAATTGCTTGAACCAGGGAGGTGGAGATCGCAGTGAGCCAAGATCATGCCACTGCACTCCAGCCTGGGTGACAGAGCGAGACTCTATCTCAAAAAATAAAATTTAAAAAATAATAAAGTCACAAGGAAGGCACACAGAGGGAAAGCCACCTGCCTAAGGTCACACAACTGGCACATGGAAGAGCCAGGGCTCAAAACCGTGTCTCTAAGCCCAGCATGTTGAATCCTATTTTCCCCAATGAAGCAGGTCCTGCTATTGAAAACATAGGGCCGGGTGCGGTGGCTCAAGCCTGTAATCCCAGCACTTTGGGAGGCCGAGACGGGCGGATCACGAGGTCAGGAGATCGAGACCATCCTGGCGAACACGGTGAAACCCCGTCTCTACTAAAAAATACAAAAAACTAGCTGGGCGAGGTGGCGGGCGCCTGTAGTCCCAGCTACTCCAGAGGCTGAGCCAGGAGAATGGCGTAAACCCGGGAGGCGGAGCTTGCAGTGAGCCGAGATCCGGCCACTGCACTCCAGCCTGGGCCACAGAGCGAGACTCCGTCTCAAAAAAAAAAAAAAAAAAAAAATAGGATATTTGATGAGGACAATAATAATATATAATGTTTTTTTTTTATTATTATTATGATGATAAAACTAATAGCAGCTAAATTGCATTGAGAGCTTTCTATACATCAGGCTCCATAGGACACAGTCATATTTTCATGATGTGATCCACTGCAGATGAGGAAGCTGAGGCTCCACGAGGTTAAGTAACCACCCGGAAGTCACAAAGCTAAGGATCAGGAGATAGGACTTGCACCCAGGCCTCAATTCAAACCAAAGGAGGCCAGATGTGGTGGTCACGCCTGTAATCCCAGCACTTTGGGAGACCGAGGCGGGAGGATCGCTTGAGCCCAGGAGTTCGAGACCAGCCTGGGCAACACAGTGAGACCCCTGACTCTACAATTTTTTTTTTTAATTAGCCAGTCATTGTGGCACATGCCTGTAGTCCCAGCTACTTGGGAGGTTGAGGCAGGAGGATCACTTGAGTTCAGGAGTTCAAGGCTACAGTGAGCTATGATCCCACCACTGCACTTCAGGCTGGGAGACAGAGCCAGATCTTGTCTCAAAAAAAAAGCAGGACGAGACCCAATAATTGAGCCAGATGGGAACTTAGGCCCTGACCAGCCCTACTCTCTCCTCTTAGAAAGAGAAATTGAGGCCCCTAAGAGCAAGAAAGCTGCCTCAAACCTACAGACTTCCAGATGGAATTTCGTTTCCGTCTCAGGACTCTGAGCAGGTAAATTCCTGGCCTTTCCTCTCCCAGGATGGGCTGGGGAAAAAGAAGCAGCAGCTGGGCAGGAGATCTGAACAGGTACAAAGCGCGGCCTGCATGAGGGGAAAGTGGTTAGACACCAAGCAGAACTTCCGGGCCTCCTCTGGGAAGTTTCTGAGACTCATCCAGGGGCTGCCCCTGCGGGTGGGGGCCCTCCAGAGGCCAAGGCCCAGAGAAAGGAGACCCTAGTCCTTTCCGTCTGGGGTGCAAGGAGCGGGGGGAACAGTGGGGGCGGCCATCCTGGTTCCGCATCCTCCGTTCCCGACATTGGAGGGAGGCTGCTATGGGAGCTGGGACTTTCCTGAGAGCAGAAGATTCTGGGAAATTAGAGACAGCTGCAGGGCGGGGCTGCCTCCCAGCCTCCCTTCCCTTCCCTCCCCTTGGTCCCCGCTGGCTCCGGAGGCACGCCTCTCTACCCCTCCACCCCATGAGCTCCTCCTCCCCTAGTCCATGCCTTCCACCCTCAGATCTTTTCCCCCAACCTCTTTCTCCTCCCTCAGATCTGGCCTCTACCCTCAGACTCTCTCCAAATCTTCTTCCCTCAGACTCCTCTTTCCCCTCCAACTCTCTCCTCCTCCCTCAGAGCTGCGTCTCCTCACTTAGAGCTTCTCAGACTCCTCAGACTGTGCGGTCTCCCTCAGATACTCTCCCCTTCCCTCACCTCCTCCCCCAGACCCTTACCTCCTCCTTCAGACCCTCACCTCCTCTCTCAAACCCTCGCCTCCTTCCTCAGATGCTTATCTCCTCCTTCAGACCCTCACCTCCTCCCTCAGACCCCCGCCTCCTCCTTCAGACCCTCACCTCCTCTCTCAAACCCTCGCCTCCTTCCTCAGACTCTTATCACCTCCTTCAGATCCTCTCCCCCTCCTCCCACTAACCCATCTATTTCTCTCTCAGACCTGTCTTCCTTCTTCAGATCCTCCTCCTTCAGACCCTATTATCCCTCATCCAACCTCAGAGAACTTTCAGTACCCTCTCTCCCAGCAGCACCCTCTCTCCCAGCAGCACCCTCTCTCCCAGCAGCACCCTGTCTCCCAGCGGGAAGCTCTCTCCCAGCCCTTCAAAGCCCCCGCAGGACCCATCACATCTTCTCCCCTCTCCAGTCCTGCTAGATTGGAACCACTGCACCACCTGCCCCGGGATGCAGGAGTGGGACAGGCTTGGGTGTCCTTCCGACCCTACCTCTGAGGGTCCCCACCCTAAGCCTCACCCCTCCAAACTTCAGCTTTCCTTTCTGTGCCGTGGGGTAGTGCTCCACACCCCTCTCCTGTGTCTGAGGGTCCCCAGGGGTGGGGTTGGGTGGGCAGGGAACACAAAACTCAGCCTATCCAACCCAATTCCTCCTCTCCCTTTGCTGTGGCCCTCGCAACACCAGCAGGCAGGTGTTGCCATTGGTCCCATTTTCCAGAAGAACAAACTGAGTCTCAGGATGAAATGGCTTGTCTAAGGTCCCACCGGGAGCAAGGGGTAGAGGCAGAATTTGAACACAGGTCTGTGCTCGGGATGTTTCACCATGAAGCGGGGTAGGCAGAAAAGATCAGGGAGGGAAGGGATGAGGCCTCTCCCCACAGCCACTTCTCACATCCTGGATTAACGATCCACTCGGGCGCGGCCTGAGTCCGGCCAAAGTCCCTTCCCTGGGCCCCAACACCCACTTTCAAGGTCCCAGGGGACAGAGACAGCAACAGAGATGGGGAGACAGAGACAGAGGGCAGGGCGGGAGACAACCAGAGGGAGGTCAGGCAAGTTGCGAAGACAGAAGGAGACCGGGGGAGAGAACCAGAGAGACGCCGCAAGCCCCCTGGGCAGGTCTGGGGTGCAGCCACCATGCCCCGCCCTCTGTTTGCCCAAAGCCTCCCTCTCCGCCTCCTGTGACTCAGTGACCCGGACTCAACCCCAGCGGCTGCCCCGCCCCCAGGGAAATCCGGGAAAGCCCCGGACCTTCGGGGCCCCACCCCGGGGCGGGGAAAGGCAGAGAAGGGGAGGAGACCGGGAAGAGTCCCGCCTCCCCCCTCCTTCCCTCCCATCTCTTGCCTGAGTCATGCCCCCAACCCGCCTGGCTTGTTCCCCACCCATCAACCCCTCTTCGCGGTGGGACGGGAAGTAGGGGGGAAGCCAAACTGCTCCCCTCTCCTGCAGCACCGGCCTCGGTCGCGCTGACTCTGGCCTGGCGTCTGTGTCTCTTGCTATCTCTCTTTCTCTCAAGATCTCTGCGCCTGTCTCCATGTCTCTTTCTCTCTGTGCACCTAGGATTTTCCGAGCACCCACCCCGGTGCCCTGGGGGCCCTGGCTGGGTGCAGGGCCCCCAACGCGGGCAGAGACACAATCAGTGGAGCGCTCCCCACCCTCACCCCACCCCCAGCCCCTTTAGACCCACAGCCGAAGAGGCACGTGGAGTGGCAGAAATGGAAGAGAGGAGGGAGAGGAATCGTTCCTGGCCGCCTGCCGAGTGCCAGTCCTTGCCCCGGGTGCGTCTCTTCACTCCCACTAAGGAGGAAACGGCTCAGAGAGGGGAAGTGTTTGACCAAGGTCACCCAGCGAGGAAGTGGGAACCGAGATTCGAACCTGCGTCCCAGAGATGCCAAGGCCTCCTGAGAGGCAGAGAAGCAGACAGCAACTGAGAGACAGAGAGACGGTGACAGATACAAAGAGACAAAAGAGAGAGACAGAGACCGAACAGAGCACACAGAGACAAACGCGGGGGTGCGAAGAGAAACACCTACTCAGACAGGAGAACCAGAGAGACAGTTACAGACTCAGCGATAGAGAGGCTGAGAGATAGAGCCAGAAAGACAAAAACAGAGGCAGAGAGACTGAGAGCGGCCCTTGGCAGCAGGGGTAGGGACACCCCCCCACCCTCCGACCCCGCCTCCTCTCTCCCCACCCCTCCTTTCCTCCCACTCCCCCGCCAAAGCCTGGCTGCCCGGGGCGCCGCGGGCCGGGAGGGGGCCAGCGGGGCGCGGCGCGGGCGGGGCGCACAGCAGGCTGCACCGCAGAGCGGCGGGAGCAGCGGCGGGTCCAGGAAACCCCTGGGGCGTACGGGTGGCCCCGGGGGGGGCCGGGGGCGGGGAGGCGGGCGGCCGGCACCGCCCCGGCCGACAAAAGTCCCTTCAGTTCAGCCGGCTGCAGGGGAAGTCCCGGCGCCCGGCGAAACCACCCTCCCGTGCAGCCGAGCCCAGCAGCTCTCCGGCCGCCGTCCCCGGCGGCCCCATGCCCCGATGCCCCGCAGGGGCCATGGACGAGGGGCCCGTGGACCTGCGCACCCGACCCAAGGCCGCCGGACTCCCGGGCGCCGCACTGCCGCTCCGCAAGCGCCCGCTGCGCGCGCCCTCCCCGGAGCCCGCCGCTCCCCGCGGCGCTGCGGGCCTTGTTGTCCCCCTGGACCCCCTGCGCGGCGGCTGCGACCTGCCGGCGGTCCCCGGGCCCCCCCACGGCCTGGCCAGGCCGGAGGCGCTGTACTACCCGGGTGAGTGGCCCCCCGAGGGTCTGGGCCTGGTAGGAGCCACACAGAGCATAGGGTCACCAGAGCCAGGGGACACAGCTGGAGGCACAAACCCGTGTATCTCCAGGAACCTGGGGGACAAGAGGATATAACCCCAGGTTCCAGGGATACAGATAGGAGATCATCAGGGAGCCAGTAAGCTGTGCCTTGGGACACAGGCATCTGGGGGTTTGGGGACCCTGGGGGGCAGAGCCCAGGGGCTGAGTGACATGGGGGGGGCCAGGGACAATGCCCACTGGTACAAATATGGGGGTGTCAGGGAATCAGGACACAGAGCCTGGTGTCCTGGGGACAAAAAAGTACAAGCTCTTAAACCAGATGTGTAGGGTTATGAGGAAGCGGAGCTGGGCTGGAGAAACTGGGGTTCCTTGTATCCTGCTATTAGAATCAAAGGAAGTCAGGGTAACAGAGACTGGGGTTCTAAGGAGACAGATACTGAGGATCTCAGGATGTCACAATATCAGGAACCCAAGATATCTGGAGACATGGGCATTATGAAAACAGAGATGGGGTTCTGAGCACCCCAATACCTGGGATCACAAGGATCCAAAGGAATGAACCAGAGCTCCAGGGACCCAGATACCAGGGGGTCTTGAGGACCCAGGGGAACAGAGACCCGGGGTTCTGGGTACTCAGTTATGTGGGACCACAAGCGATCAGGGTCCTATTTGAGGTCAAGATCAGGTGGGCCGGAGGGGATCGGGGGACTGAGGATCCTAAGATTGGGTAATTCTGAGACTCTGGGTAATTTAGAGGCAGGATGAAAGACTCAGGGGTCTCCAGACAGAAAGCCTCAGGGCCCCAAGGCCTCGTACTGGAGATACGGGGACCTGGAAACTTGGGAGTTCAAGAACAGAGGACCCACAAGGATCAGCAGAGGACAAAGACCACACACTTTTCTCTCCAACCCATCTCCATCCCTGATCTCAAGAAGGAGTGTCCCCTAGCACAGCTATAGCCGTGTCACCATCCCCAATTGACCCCCAAAGCTGCAGAGAGCCCTTCTCCAGAGCCCCAAGACTTTAGGTAGTTTCTGCACCTTCCACTCCATCAGTATGACAGCTGGAGAGCCTCAAGCTATATGCGTCAGGAGTTCTGCCACGGCCTCCCAGCTTTCCCATTCCAAGAGTAAGAACGCAGGCCTCAGTTTTCCCCGTCTGTGTGATGGGTTGGTATAGATTTGCCTGCTGCTGTGGTCCCCCACCTTTTGTTTTTGTTTTGCTTTGTTTTGTTTTTTTGAGACAGAGTTTTGCTCTGTCACCCAGGCTGGAGTGCATTGGCATGATCTCAGCTCATTGCAACCTCCGCCTCCCAAGTTCAAGCAATTCTTGTGCCTCGGCCTCCCAAGTAGCTGGGATTACAGGCATGCACCACCACACCTGGCTAATTTTTGTATTTTTAGTGGAGACAGGGTTTCACCATGTTGCACAGACTAGTATTGAACTCCTGAGCTCAGGTGATCCACCCGCCTCGGCCTCCCAAAGTATTGGTGTTAGAGGCACGAGCCACAGCCCCCGGCCTGCCATGGCCCCTTTTTTAACAGTTTGATCTAAAATTACCCACACGTGATGGTGAGCATCTGTAATTCCAGCTACCTGGGAGGCTGAGGCAGGAGAATCGCTTGAACCCGGGAGGCAGAGGTTGCAGTGAGGCAAGATCGTGCCACTGTACTCCAGTCTGGGCAACAGAGCAAGACTCCATCTCAAAAACAGTTTGAACAGGCTTCTGGTGACACCTCCTCTCTCCCTCCATTCTCTCCAAACCCACTCTACATTTATCCCACACCCTGCACCCAGCTCTTCATCAGCCACACAATCACTCCGCAGACAGTCCCTCGGGTTCCCTGCTAGGTGATGATGGGTGCGCCCTCTGTTCTTAAGGGACCCTTTGTCTGATTGGAGATTGGGGTCAGAAGATAAGTGACAATAAGGGTGACCAGCCCTGGAGGGAGAGGAAGCTGCCGGAGCCCAGAGGAGGGATGTGGAAGGGGGTTTGTTTTAGGCCCTGAGGACCCAGTATAGGATGCAAAAGGGACCTGGGAGAAAAGGTAGGTGACACTGCAGGAGCAAAGATCTAGAAGTAGGGAGCGATCTAGAAGTGGGGAGCAGGTTGAGGGTCTGTGAGTGTGGCCTCACCCATGTCCCTCCTCTGTCCTCCATTGCCTAGGAGCCTTACTGCCTTTGTACCCCACTCGGACCATGGGCTCCCCGTTTCCTCTGGTGAACCTGCCTACACCCCTGTACCCCATGATGTGCCCCATGGAACACCCCCTTTCTGCTGACATCGCCATGGCCACCCGAGCAGATGAGGACGGAGACACGTGAGTGATAGTCCCCTATTAAGGGGAGGGGTGGTTGGGAAGACCAGCTGTCCATAACACAGGGCCACTCAGCTCCCGTGGACCTGAGTCAGAACTCGGTCTCCACCACAGGCTGTGTGACCTTGAATAAGGCCCTTCCCCTCTCTGAGCCTCAGTTTCCTCTTCTGAATAATGGGCACCCGGAGAGCATTTACTTCCTAGGACACTATTTTTGTTTGGTTTTTGTTTTTGATTTTTGAGACAGGGTCTCACTCTGTCGCCCAGGCTGGAGTGCAGTGGCACGATCTCGGCATACTGCAACCTCCACCTCCCAGGTTCAAGCAAGTCTCGTGCCTCAACCTCCCCAGTAGCTGAGACTACAGGTGCCCACTGCCACGCCCAGCTAAGTTTTGTATTTTTTGATAAAGACAGGGTTTCACCATGTTGGCCAGACTGGTCTCCAACTCCTGACCTCCAGTGATCCACTCACCTTGACCTCCCACAGTGCTGGGATTACAGGCATGAGCCCCAAGCCCACCCCTAGAACACTATTTTTGGAACAGTGGTCTTCAGATTTTTTATCACACCTTAAAAACAAGAAAGACAGTTCATTGATTAACTTACTATATGAATTATACATGTAAAACTCCTATCACTGGACCTGGCATAAATGTTGAGTGTTTGTTAATATTACTATTACTTTATCTCAAACCCAGCACGCGCGCGCACACACACACACACACACACACACACACACACACAAACCTGAAATTAAAATTGCACAAAATGAAACAATACTCACCCTTACTATGTGGGTTCTACTTTGACATTTTCTTTTTTTCTTTTTTTTCTATTTTTTTTTCTGAGACAGGGTCTCCATCTGTCACCCAGGCTGGAGTGCAGTGGTGCAATCATAGCTCACTGTAGCCTTGATCTCTTGGGCTCAAGTGATCCTCCCGCCTCAGCCTCCTGAGTAACTGGGACCACAGGCACTCCTCCCACACCTGTCTAATTTTTGTTTTTGTTTTTGTTTGTAGAGACATGATGGTCTTGCTATGTTGTCCAGACTGGTCTCAAACTCCTGGGCTCAAGTCATGTTCCCACCTCAGCCTCCCAAAGTGCTGAGATTACAGGTGCGAGCCACCGAGCCCAGCTTTACAGCTTTACTTTGCCATTTTCTATTCTAGTCGACTTCATTGTTTTGTGGTCACAGCCCACTACATTAATTTGAAGATCCCCTAAATTGATTTCATAACCCCCACGGTTTATCACCTGCAGTTTGAAGAACATGTTTGTGAGGCTGCTGAGAAGTGTTGCACGGGAGGGTTTAGTCTGTGCCTAGCACATAGTAAGCACTCACTACAATTGATCATCATGATTCTTATTATTCTATCGACCTGGGTTTGAATCTCACCATGGCCACTTTCTCCTCACTCTATGCCTCAGTTTCCCTCTCTGTAAAAACAGGAACCATCACGTGTGAGGGTCTCTGGGAGGAAGAAATGACATGATTTATACAAAGCGCTTATGTGAGAACTAGTCTGGGGCCTGGAAACCACAGGTAGAGATGAACAGGCCTACTTCTGCAGAGAAGTAGCAGGGGGGCTGCTCCGCCACTGGCCCACTGAGTGATTTCATGTCACTGAGTCTCAGTTTCCCTATTTGGAAACTGGATCTCATAATAGCACCTATCACAATTAGGATTCAGTGAGATCTTGTATACATGTTTTAATACAGTGCACAGAACAGGGCTGGGCAAAGAGTAAGTGCTCAATGCATGGAAATGGGTAGTGTTTGAGCAGAGCTCCCAGGGTGGTTGCAGGCCATCTTGAGAGCCCTAGCAGGAGAAAGTGGCTGAGATTATAAAGAGCTAATAAAACCTAGTTCCCTCCCCTTCTAGGTACCTCTGGGGGGTCATCTATGAAGTGGACTTAATTAGTCTCTGCCCCCAGGGGTGAACTCTCCATGCCGTTGAAAAGCAGTGTGCTTGCTAGAGGCCGCTGGGCCCACCAGTCTCCAGTCCCGGGCCCTCCCCCCACCTTCCCTCCCCGACTCTGCCCCAAGGCAAACACTTCTGCCTCAGCTGCCTGCTGGGGGAAATCCCTTCCCGCAGAACTTGACCGCAACCCAGCTGCTCTGCCTCCCCCACGTCAGCACCCGTCACTCACTCGCAGCCTCCCCCCTCCTGGCGCTTCCTCCAACCTTAACCCCTTCCGCTGGGGCTGAGACTTTACCGGAACGGGCAGCGGCCCGGCCCCAGCCTGCGCCACCGGCTCCACTTCACACCCGCGGGGGCGGGCAGTGGGGGCAAGGAGGGCGGGGGACGCTAAGTCTGGGTCCCCGCAGAAGCCAAAAGGTTGGGAGGCTGGGCTTGCATCTTCTCACAGGCGGGTACGAGCCTTGGGGCATTTGGACCCCCAAGAGGTTAGGGACTGGGCAGCTAGAAACCTGGGGAGGGGGCGGGATGACGGGGGGCGGGGTGGGGCGGATGTTCTGAGTCTCAGAAGGCAGAAGTTGGGAAACTGTATTCCTTAATCTCCGAGGGGATGAGGAGCAGCTTGGCAGCTTGGGGACCTGGCACTCAGAGGGACTTTAGGGGCAGGACCAGATACAGAAATTTGCAGAGTCCCTTGCTCAAAACTTAAGAATTTCACGACAGCGGCGGCAGGACATTCTAAGCGCTGGGCGGGTGAAACTGCTCACGCCGAGGGGCCTGAAAGTCAGTGTCCCCAAAAGGGCAGGGATTGAGGCGCTGTATTTCTGGGTCTCTGAGGGGACAAGGACAGGCAAGGTAGTTTGGGATCCTGGAGCTCCGAAGGACGGGGGACGTCCTTATTCTTAAAGAAGAGTTAGGGCTATTTCTGGCTCCCAGAGAGACGTTGGGAGTGGATGCCGGGATAAGGAGGACTTGCAGCCAGCTGGAGTCTGAACCCTAACGGGTGGAGTTCCAGAGGGTCCCCCAGGCTGGAGGACTCGGGATTATATGCCCCCCCACAACACACACACCTCAAGGGAGCTAGGTCTTCTTTGGCTGGGCTCCCCTTTCCCCCGCCCCATTCGAGGATGGAAGTTGGGGTGCCGGGGGTGGCCAGGGTAGATCCCCGGCGGGACAGGCTTCCCTCCCCCGGGAGCAGGAAGCGGAGCCCCGCCCAGCAGACCTGTTACTGGAAGTCCGAGGGCTGGGTCGCCCCTCCCGTCCCCACTTCCTCCAGCCCCGCCCCACCCCCTGCGGCCCGCGCGTTTATGGGAACTCAGGCCTGGACGGTTTCTCTGAAATCATTCGCTCCGTCTGCCCTCACTTAACCCTGGCCGCCCCGAGAGGGACCTAGGCCAGGGGTCCTGGGAGATGCAGAGAAGCGAGGAGCCTTACCAGGGACACCGGCCCCTCTCTCAACATTTTATTTTTAAATTTGGTTTTTCACGAATTAGGAGTCAGGTTCAGCAATTCACCTGCGTGATCGCACCCTGGCATGTGGGCGCTGTACTTCACCTAGCAGAAAACTGAGGCTCCAAAAGGCCGCCATGGCTTTGCCCTGGCACACGGCTAGGCTAGGAGGGGTTGTGGCCCAATTTGCAACTCTGGCCCCAGGATTTCTTCATTTCCACCAGAACCACCTGGGAGGCTGGTTTAAACTGGATTCTACAGACACATTCCACAAGAGAGACGAGTGGTGGTGAGAAAGTAATTACTCAGTAAACAGACTTTAAATAAAGATCCTGCCGCCCACTGTGTACACACAGGCCTCTTTGGGTCCTCCACTCTGTCCCTATCCCAAGCAAACATGCACAGGTGTGCACACGCACGCGCGCGCGCACACACACACATCAGTCTCCAAATAGCTGTTCCAGGTTTGGGTCTCTGGAAACTGAGCAGGAAGTTCCTTGGAAATGCTCTCCATCAACACCTGTGGGATGAAGGAAGCCCATCTGGGCGGAAGGAGAAGTTGAGCTGCAGTGTCGCCTCTGCGCGGCCTCAGCCATCCCACAGAGAATATTGAAGCTGGAATGGCCTTCAGCATTGGGGTCAGGAGGCTAGGCCTTCTACGCTGGCATTAACCAGTGACTGGATGCCATTGAAGGGCAACTGCTCTTGATTCACATGGGGCGTGACCTTGGGCAAGCAACTCTCTTCAGCTGAGGGTAATTCCCAAATGGTCTGAAAGCTGATGATCTTCCCAGAAGCTGAGGGAGTAAGTCCTTCAGTCTGGAAGGGGGTTCTGGGCTGTATAGCCTCCAGAACAATGGCCCCATCCCAGTTTGTCCTTATCTCCCTTTTAGTCAAAACTTTTGTTCCAGACTGGGCATGGTGGTTCATGCCTGTAATCCCAGCACTTTGGGAGGCTGAAACAGGAGGATCACTTGAACCCAGCAGTTAGAGACCAGCCTGGCCAACATGGTGAAACCCGGTCTCTACTAAAAATACAAAAATTAGCTGGGCGTGATGGCACACGCCTGTAATCCCAGCTACTCGGGAGGCTGAGGTTGGATGATCGCTTGAACCCAGGAGGCAGAGATTGCAGTGAGCGTGAGACAGCACCACTGCACTCCAGCCTAGGCGACAGAGCAAGACTCCATCTCAAACAAATAAAATAAAACAAAAGGGTCCCTCTGGCTGTTGTGTGGGGGACAGACAGTAGAGCATAGATGGAATCAGGAAAACCATGAGGATGGAACTGTGCTAGACCAGCAGGGAGCCAGTGGTGGCTAAAGCAGGATGGAAGGAGTGGGTGGTAAATCAGGATGGAAGGAGTGGGTGGGGAGAAGTGTTTGGATACTGGGGACATTTCCAAAGCACTCAACACATTGGAGTTATCATTGCCAACAGCATGAGGGTGAGAGGTGAACAGCTCCTAATGCCTGTGATTCTTTCATTCCCCTACCCCCAGGCCTCTCCATATTGCTGTGGTGCAGGGTAACCTGCCAGCTGTGCACCGGCTGGTCAACCTCTTCCAGCAGGGGGGCCGGGAGCTCGACATCTACAACAACCTACGGCAGGTGAGGCTGGGTCTGAGGGAGGAGGGCTGGGGGCTTGGGCTCCTGGGTCTGAGGGAGGAGGGGCTGGGGGCCTGGGCTCCTGGGTCTGAGGGAGGAGGGGCTGGGGGCCTGGGCTCTTGGGTCTGAGGGAGGAGGGGCTGGGGGCCTGGGCTCCTGGGTCTGAGGGAGGAGGGGCTGGGGGCCTGGGCTCCTGGGTCTGAGGGAGGAGGGCTGGGGGTCTGGACTCTAAGTAGCGAGGTGCTCCAGGCTCCTGGTTCCTGGGGAAGAAGGGCTCTGGGGTCTTGGACTCCTTGTTCCTGAGAGGGAGGGAGCCTAAAGACCTCCTAGATGAGGACGGAGGGGGCTGGGGACCCAGAATCCCGGTACTAGGGAAAGAGGAGTTTGGAGGCCCAGTCTTCTGGGTCCTGGGGAAGGAGGAGCATGGGTCCCCCACTCTTGAATCTGAGACAGGAGGTGTCTCAGGTTTCTGTTCCTGGGGAAGACTGCAGGATGAGGAGTAAGGGTTCAGAAAACCTGAGGGAGGCAGGACTAGAGAGCAGGGCTGGACACAGGTCCCTCACAGTCACTGTTCCCCAGACACCGCTCCACCTGGCTGTGATCACCACATTACCGTCTGTGGTCCGGCTCCTGGTGACAGCTGGTGCCAGCCCCATGGCGCTGGACCGCCATGGCCAGACGGCCGCCCACCTGGCGTGCGAGCACCGCAGCCCAACCTGCCTGCGAGCCCTGCTGGACAGCGCAGCTCCTGGCACGTTGGACCTGGAGGCCCGCAATTACGACGGTAAGTATCTACCGCGGGGCACGGCTGGGCTATCCAGCGGACCTGGAGTCCATCAGCGTCCGCAAAGCCCCAGGCCTAGGTTTCACCAAGCCTTCCCCTCCCTCAGGGCTCACCGCCCTGCACGTGGCAGTGAACACCGAGTGCCAAGAAACCGTGCAGCTCTTACTGGAGCGCGGTGCCGACATCGACGCCGTGGTGAGCGCGCACTAGGAGCTGGGAGGGAGTCGGGCCTTAGCAGGGGCGGGGTCTTGTCGGGGGCGGGGCCAGTGTGGGGCTGGCGTGGGAGAGCGCCCGCGTGGGGCGGGGCTTGGAGTATCCGACCCAAGAGAGAGGCTGGACCCCACGAATGGGATGCGGTCGGGATGCGGGTCGCCAGCTGCTGGAGCAGAGCTTGGAGAAACTCAAAGACTTTCCCTCCCCGCCGCAGGACATTAAGAGCGGCCGCTCCCCGCTCATTCACGCCGTGGAAAACAACAGCCTTAGCATGGTGCAGCTGCTGCTGCAGGTGCGTACAGCGCCCCCTGAGCCTCGCGCCCACCCTGTCCTCTGACCCCAACCCGGCTCTGGCCCCAGCCTCTACCTCTGACCCCGCCTTCCAGTTCTGGCTCTTGCTCCTGCTCCGCGTCCAGCTCTCACCCTTCCTTTAAGGCCTAGTTCTCTCAACCCTCGCCCATGCCCCTGGCTACGAACATGTCCCATTCCTCCCCTGCCCCCTCAACGGCCTAGGCCCCGCCCTGCGTTGGCCTGGCCGACCCCACCTTCCAGCTAGGCCCTGTCCACGCATTGTCCTTCCCCCCTCCAGCCCCCCCAACTCCTTGGGGCGCGGGCCTCGGTGTCCAGCTCCGGTTCATTCAGCGCCGCCAGCGCAGTCCCGCTTGGCCCGCCCTTGGCTGTCGCTCCTACCTTCCTGTGACCCCACCCCATCCGGTGCCGCCCAACGTGCCGGCCACCTACCCGGGCCTCCAGCCTCTGTTCCCTTGCCCCGGGTGACCCGCGCGCACTCCTGACCCGGCCCTCCCGCCCCGCAGCACGGCGCCAACGTGAACGCACAAATGTACTCCGGCAGCTCCGCGCTGCACTCAGCGTCCGGCCGCGGGCTCCTCCCGCTGGTGCGCACACTGGTCCGCAGCGGCGCTGACAGCAGCCTCAAGAACTGCCACAACGACACGCCGCTGATGGTGGCGCGCAGCCGCAGGGTGAGCCGGGGCGGCTGTGGGCATGCCCCTTGCACACGTGTGTCCGCGGGCTGGTGGCAGGAGAGTGTGCCAGAGCGCAGAGGTGTGAGGGTGTCTGTGCCGCTGCGTGGTGGGGGGTGGGTAAGTCTCTGAGAGCGAGGGTGTGAGTTCCACAAATGAGGAGAGACTGGCACCAAGAAAAGAAGTGCCTTGCCCATCTTTTCCTACTGAGAGATGGAGAGGCCACCATCTGGATCCCGTGAGCTAGGAGGGATAGAAGGAGAGAGGGCTGTGAGGCAGGGGTGGCTCTATGGTGACGCCCATCTTCCTACAGGTCATCGACATCCTGAGGGGGAAGGCCGCCCGGCCTGCTTCCACCTCCCAGCCAGACCCCTCCCCTGACCGGAGCGCCAACACCTCCCCCGAGAGCAGCAGCCGCCTCAGCTCCAATGGTGAGAAACCGCTCCCAACCTCCAGCCCTGGCGCCTCCTCCCTCAGACCCAGGAATCCCAACCCACGGCCCCTCCTCCCTCAGATCCAGGAGTCCAGGCCCCTAGCCTCCTCTCTCAGACACAGGAATCCCAAACCGTACCCCTTCCTTCCTCAGCCCCAGGATTCCAGGCCCCTAGCCTCCTCCCTCAGACCCAGAAGTCCAGACCCCTGGCCCCTCCTCCTTCAGACCGCAGCCCCTCCTCCACCAGACCCCCCCAGCCCCTCCTCCCTCAGACTTCAGCCCCTCCTCCCTCACACTCCCAGTCCCTCTTCTCTCAAACCTCAGCCCCTCCTCCCTCAGACCCAGGAATCCAGATTCCCAGCCCCTCCTCCCTCAGACCCCCAGCCCCTCCTCCCTCAGACCCAGGAGTCCACACCCCTGGCCTCTTCTCCTTCAGACCCCAGTCCCTCCTCCTTCAGACCCCCAGCCCCTCTTCCTTCAGACCCAGGAGTCTAGGTCCCCAATGCCTCTTTCCTCAGACCCAGGACTTTAGACCCCTAGCCCCTTCTCCCTCAGACCTCCTGCACCTCCTTCCTCAGATCCAAGAGTCCAGACCCCCAGCCCCTCCTGCTTCAGACCCCCAGTCCCTCCTCCCTTAGACCCAGATCTCAGGCCCCAGCCCCTGCTCTCTGGGTCTAGCCTCTCACCACCCTCCCCCTCTGTCTCTCTTCCTTCCTCAGGTCTTCTCTCTGCATCACCGTCCTCCTCACCCTCCCAGTCTCCCCCCAAGGACCCCCCTGCATTCCCCATGGCTCCTCCCAATTTCTTCCTTCCTTCCCCATCTCCACCTGCCTTCCTGCCCTTTGCCGGGGTCCTCCGAGGCCCTGGCCGGCCGGTGCCCTCCTCCCCAGCTCCAGGAGGCAGCTGAGGGGGATGGGGGGGCAGATCTTGGACTCATGAGGAGGGGCCCCCTGCCCTGTGGGGTCAACCCTTCTGGAAACTGTGAAGATCTCACTCTGCCCCCCCCCCATCTTCGGGACCAGGATTTGCACAGAAGCACATGCACCTACCCATACAGCCCCTCTTCTGAGCACAGTTCCCCCATCTCGCTCCCTGCCCAGAACTCTGACCCCAGTATTCTCAGGCACCAGTCCCTGTCCGGAATGCCACCCACATCTTCCATTTCCGTGTCCCCTCCCAGAGCTGGTGGACCCAGGGAACAGCCACTCCCCTCCACACGCTACCAGACAACTGAGGAGGGGAGAGGTGGGCTGTAACGGACACGGATCACGATGTAAATTATTAAGCATTTTGGTTGGATTTCTTTTGTAATAAACTATTTTTGTACCATATCCCTTGGGTGCATGGGCCTCTTTCATAAGATGGACCTGACGGAAGTGCCTTCGTGTGTGTGCACACCCGTGCACTGAATCCAGTTGACTCCCAGAGTGATGTTGTGAGTCTCAGACAGACAATCTCCTGTGTATCACTCTGGGACTTCTGGTGTGTTTGATTGTGAATGTTGCCATCATTGTCACTGTGCCATTGTTTCTAAGGAGAACATGGTGTGTGGTATCTTTTTTTTATTTCCCCAAGACAGAGTCTTGCTCTGTCACCCAAGCTGGAGCGCAGTGGCACGATCTCGGCTCACTGCAACCTCCGCCTCCCAAGTTCAAGCGATTCTCCTGCCTCAGCCTCCCGAGTAGCTGGGATTACAGGCGTGCACCACCACGCCCGGCTAATTTTTGTATTTTTAGTAGAGATGGGGTTTCACCATGTTGGTCAGGCTGGTCTCGAACTCCTGACCTCATGATCCTCCCATGTCAGCCTCCCAAAGTGCTGGGATTACAGGCATGAACCACCGCACCTGGCCAGTGTGTGATATCTTTCCAGGGCACCCTGTTGGATTCCATAGTGAGCCCGGGCATATGTGTTTCTGTAGTGGGGGGGTCCCAGTGATAACCCACAGCTGACTTCAGCCCCAGTCATCTCTGGCTGGTCGAGTGTGTGGTGTTTGGGAGTGTTCCTAACATTGAATCTGGGGTGATGCTGTGATTGTTGAGGTGTGACTGCCTCACATGGTGTGAGGCACTTTTACTCAGTGGTTCCACGGGGCCTCTCTAATGGACCACATCTGTGGTTTTTTTGTTGTTTTTTTGTTTTGAGACGGAGTCTCACTCTGTCGCCCAGGCTAGAGTGCAATGGCACGATCTCGGCTCACTGCAACCTCCACCTCCTGGGTTCAAGAGATTCTCCTGCCCCAGCCCCCTGAGTAACTGGGACTACAGGCGCGCACCAGCACGCCTGGCTAATTTTTGTATTTTTAGTAGAGACGGGGTTTTGCCACATTGGCCAGGCTGGTCTCAAACTCCTGACCTCAGGCGATCCGCCTGCCTTCACTTCCCAAAGTGCTGGGATTACAGGCGTGAGTCACCATGCCCAGCCACACATCTGTAGTTTGACTCTGGGGTATGTCTCTGTGTGTCAGTTGGGGTTTGTAATGGTTTCCTGTTGCCACTATAACAAATCACAAATTCAGTGACTTGAAATGATGCTAACTTTTTTTTTTTTTTTTTTTTTGAGACAGAGTCTCACTCTGTCGCCCAGGCTGGAGTGCAGTGGCACAATCTCAGCTCACGACAAACTCCACTTCCCTGGTTCAAGCCATTCTCCTACCTCAGCCTCCCAAGTAGATGGGACTACAGGCCTGCACCACCACACCCGGTTAGTTTTTCGTATTTTTAGTAGACACAGGGTTTCGACAGTTTGGCCAGGCTGATCTGGAACTCCTGACCTCAGGTGATCCACCCACCTCAGCCTCCCAAAGTGCTGGGATTACAAAAGGTGTGAGCCACCGTGACAGTCAAACAATGCTAATTTATTCTCTTACAGTTCTGGGCATAAGAAGTCCAAAATCGAGGCCAAGCATGGAGGTTCACACCTGTAATCCCAGCACTTTGGGAGACTAAGGCAGGAGGATCCCTTGAGACCAGGAGTTTGAGACCAGCCTGGGCAATATAGTGAGACCCTGTCTGTACAAAAAAAAAAAAAAAAATAGCCAGGCAAGGTGGCAGGCACCTGTAGTCCCACCTACTCGGAAGACTGAGGTGGGAGGATTGCTTGAGTCTGTGAGTTCGAGGCTGCAGTGAGCTATGATCGCACCACTGACTCCAGCCTGGGCAACAGAGTGAGACCCTGTCTCAAAAAATAAATAAATCAAAGAACCATGGTGTCAGCATCTGCTTCTTGTGATGAAGGCTTCAGGCTGCTTCTACTCATGGCAGAAGGCCAAGGGAACCACACGTGTGCAGGGATCACATGGCAGGAGGGGAAGCAAGAGAGAGAGAGAGAGAGAGAAAAGTGCCAGGCTCCTTTTAACATACATCTCTCATGGGCGTTAACGGGGAGAACTCATTCACCTGCCAGGGAGGGCATTAATCTGTTCATGAGGGATCTGCCCCCGTGACCCAAACACACCTCACATTAGGCCCACCTCCAATCTTGGGAATAAAAGTTTTTTGTTTTATTTTTTTGAGACGGAGTCTCGTTCTGTCGCCCAGGCTGGAGTGCAGAGGCCTAATCTCGGCTCACTGCAGCCTTTGCTTCCAAGGTTCAAGCAATTATCCAGCCTCAGTCTCCCGAGTAGCTGGAATTACAAGCACGCACCATCATGCCCAATTAATTTTTGTATTTTTAGTGGAGATGAGGTTTCACCATGTTGGCCAGGCTGGTCTTGAACTCCCGACCTCAAATGATCCGCCCGCCTCAGCCTCCCAAAGTGCTGGGATTACAGGTGTGAGCCACTGCACCTGGTCCAAATTTCTTCATTTTTTTTTTTTGATACAGAGTCTCACTCTATCACTCAGGCTGGGGTGCAGCGGGAGATCCTAGCTCACTGCAACGTTGACCTGGTCTCCAGTGAGGGGATCAAATTTCAACATGAGGTTTTGAAGGAAAAAATATTCAAACCACAGCACGGAGGTGTTTTTTGTTTGTTTTTTGTGGGTTTTTTTTTTGTTTGTGTGCTTGTTTGTTTAATCTGTGGGGGTTCTCTGGGTCGTCAGGTGAATTGCTGATAGTGAACATTTAATCACCATCACTCTGTAATGTAGTTGCATCTATGGGGCCAACTGCCTTAACAACTTCCTGGATGTCATCGCTGGGATCCGTGAATGGCTGTGTGTGTGCACACAAACACTCGTGCACACGCACTTCTGGATGGCCTGTGTGAGCACTGACTGGGTGACTTGTGTGTGCCTGGCCCTCCTGACCGGGATGTCCATGCATCTTTCTGTTTGCAACCGTGTTTCAGTGTTTCTGACCCAGACCCTGGGCTCCGGTATCTCTGAAGCTGCCAGGCTTGAAGGGTACGTGAACGTCCTTTGCTGGCCAGGCACGATGACTCACGCCTGTAATCCCAGCACTTTGGGGAAGGCAAGGTGGGAGGATCACTTGAGGCCAGGAGTTCAAGACCAGCCCAGGCAACATAGCAACACCCTGGCTCAAAGGGAAGGGGAGGGGAGGGGAGGAAAGAGAGAGTGGAAGGAAGGAAGGAGGGAGGGAGGGAGGGAGGGAAGGAAGGGAGGGAGGAAGGGAGGGAGGGAAGGAAGGAGAGAGAGAGAGACAGAAAGAAAGATTCTTTCTATGTTTCCTGGTCACCATAGTGAGACGCTGTCTCTACAAAAGATGAAAAAATGTATTGGCTGAGCATGGTGGTGTGTGCCTGCAGTCCCAGCTACTTAGGAGGCTGAGGTTCAAGCATCACTTGAGCCCGGCATGTCAAGGCTGCAGTGAACTATGATCACACCACTGCATTCCAGCCTGATGCCAGAGGGAGATCCTGTCTCTCTTTTTTGTTTTGTTTTGTTTTGTTGTTACCAAGTCTCCCTCTGTTGCACAGGCTGAAGGAGTGCAGTGGTGCAATCTCGGCTCACCACAACCTCTGTCTCCCAGGTTCAAGCGATTCTCCTGCCTCAGCCTCCCAAGTAGCTGGAATTACAGGCATGCACCATCACGCCCAGCTAATTTTTTTGTATTTTTAGTAGAGACAGGGTTTCACTATGTTGATCAGACTGGTCTCAAACTCCCGACCCCAGGTGATCCGCCCGCCTCAGCCTCCCAAAGTGCAGGGATTACAGGCATGAGCCACCGCACCCAGCCAATACTTATGTTTAATCCTTAGAGCAACTTGCAGGTTTGCTCCAAGGTTTAAATATGAATATCAGTCAAGCTAATTGTGCTCCCCTCCTCGTATGCAGTGGCCGCAAACAGCAGTGCCCTCCGTAGTATACACAGCCTGCTGCATGTAGGGATGGCCTTAAGGGACCTTGGAGATAGCCCTTTCCAATGTATGTTCATGTTTCCGACTTTGACCTCACCCCAGTCTAGACTCCAGACAGGTATGCAAGGCGCCTTTGGAAAGCCCCAGGGTGTGGTGACCAGGGTTCACATTGGCTAAGGCATCACGTCCATCTGCACCAAGCTGCAGAACATGGAACATGTGATTGAGGCCCTACCCAGGGCCAAGTTCAAGTTCCCTGGCCACCAGAAGACCCGCATCTCAAGGAGGTGGGACTTTACCAAGTTTAGTGCAGATCCATTTGAAGACACGGTGGCTGAAAAGCAGCTCATCCCGGATGGCTGTGGCATCAGGTACACCCCCAATCATGGGCCCCTGGAATAGTGGCGAGCCCTGCTTACTCACACCCACCAATAAATCCTGCTTCCTGTCCAAACCGATAAAAAAAAAAAAAATGAACAGGGCACAGTGGCTCACGCCTGTAATCCTAGCACTTTGGGAGCTGGAGGTGGGCAGATTGATTGACCCCAGGAGTTCAAGACTAGTGTGGGCAATATGGTGAAACCCTGTCTCTCCAGGAAAAAAAAAAAAAAAAAAAGATCAAAGGAAAAACAAAAATTAGCCAGTGTGGTGGTGCACGCCTGTAGTCCCACCCACTCAGGAGGCTGAGGTGGGAGGATCACTTGCGCCCAAGAGGTCAAGGCGGTGAACCAAGATTGAGCCACTGCATTCCAGCCTGGGTGACAGAGAGAGAGACCTTGTCTCAAAAAAAAAAAAGGGGGGGGAGGGAGAATAAATTATGTGCAGTACTTATTACAGGCCATGGCACTGAGTAAAAGCTTCATAAATGGGAATTACTGTTGCCATCATCTAAGAATTTTTGATAGTTTTGATGTCAGAGGAAAAAAAGTAGAGATGATGAGACCTATTATTTGTCCTGGTGGAAAAAATGGAACAATGAGGTCATAGCCTAAATGTGTGTTTTAGCTACATTTTTTATTCCACAGTTGTAACCAAATTAAAGAATATAGCTAGGCATGGTGGCACACACCT